AGACAGCAATCAACCCCATTCAATTTCATACTCAGAACAGTTTCATATTTAACCACAGTTTCATACTCACAGATCCCTGGATTATGATATAATGGCTGAAAGCCATCCACATATGTGAAGTAATATTCAGCAGTGCTCTGATGAAAACATTGGCAACCTCTAAAACTGTCACAGAAATAAAAGAAATCATACTGGATATTTAGCCTTTGAACTATATACAGCCCTGTAGAATGGTGTGAGCCTGTGAATTACAGTAACAAAACCTGTTGGCTGTTTTTCATAATAGATGGTGAAGAAAGAAGATGTTGTCATGATAACAGCTGGGATTCTGAATAGATTTCCACAGCAAAACATATTACAAGTGGGCACCAGAGGACAGTCAAAGTCTTCACTCATTTATAGATATTAAAATTTTGTAAATTATGTACTGTGGCTGCCTTAATGCTTTTCTTTAGTTATCATCCTGGAGCATGATAATTTCCTGGCTCATGAGCCACATCTGAAGGCTTTTGCCCTAGATATGTTCACAGACATACACACATCCCTACCTACTTCCAAGAGAGAATGAGCACTCTACCCCCTTGTAGCAAGGTGTATTACTGATTAAAGAATGGTGATGTAGTCAATTTCTAACAAAGCTGCTATGCCTATCTCACTTCTAAATTATTCTGAAACAGAGGAGGAGAACACTGCTGAAGTACAAAATGACACAGTACTTAATTTCTTGTTAATCACTCTTGTTAGTTGGTTTAGAATGGCACTGAATTCAAATTCAGCTGAGTGTCCCGGACCCATTAAACCTGTTGAAAGAACATTTTGTAAGGGAAGAATTTGACCTTTCTTTTCAAAGGTACAGAGAGGTAAGCAAAGCATCAAGTTCAGACTTTTCCTTCTACATAATTTCTACTAATTCCAGTCTGCTGTGGGTGTTTTTAAAAGAGTATTGATCCAGATTTAAAGAATAGAGTAACAAAAGAAATTATAATATTATTTCTCAGCTGCTCCTCTCTTTGTTTTGTAAACAATACAGTGTTCTTCAGTTTACAAATTAATAACTGTCCCTATGTTATACTCTTCTCAGCATATACAGTAAAGGAGACAATGGGCACAAACTGAAATAGAGGAAATTGCACTGAAAATTTAGAAAAAAAACCCTTTTTTCTCAATTAAATTGATAAAACATTGAATTAATTTCCCAGAGAGTTTGTGCAGTCCCCATTCTTGGTGGCAAAACCCAACTGAGTTGGACAGTGTCATGGGCAACCAGCTTTTAGCTGGGGGCTTTGACCGAAAAATCTCTGGGGATGTCTTCCAAACTCAGCTATTTCTGTTATTCTATTAAATAATTCCACCTTAAGGCATCTGCTGAACATGCACTTTCAGCATAAAAAGCTCAAATCATGACAGTATTCCCAGAAGAAAACTGAGCAGCTAGGAGATCAATGACACCTTTGACACTGGAGGTCAGTACAGTATTTCTTGCCTGATAATCTTAGACTTTACTCTAGGCCAAAGCTGGTGTTACTGTTGCATTCCTAGGGCAAATCTTGGCATAAAAAAATTTCCTATTTAAACAATCTCTTCAAATAAATTTAGTAATAATATAGCAATCTGATATTGAGTGATATTTTCTTCTTAAGATGGTTATCTACTGAAGATTCAGTTTCCCTCTTCTCTTGGCTGATCTATTGCTTACTGAATGTCACCTGGAGTGAGGTAAATGATTTTCAAACAGCCCAGTTTGGCACATAGAGTTCAGAGGCCACTTTATCATCAGAAAGGTGTTTCAGTACTGATTTATTATTCAATTTATAGAATGCTAAACTAATAGTGAATAAGATGTTCTTCCATCAGAATATTTTTCTGATGCTGCACTATACAGTTTACCTCTGCAGATGCAGTTTGTGGCTTTGTCTAGCCTACCTGAGAATGATTAGACACACTGAAGGGGAAGGAAACTACCCAAAAGTCGATTCCTTCCTAATTCCTTCCTAATTCCAGGCAATACTGCCTCACTGATTCAAACCAAGAGCAGATTCCTTCACCATACTTGAGCAGGCGTGTTGTAAGAGAAATATGAAGCAGAGCTTCTTTCAGATCCATCCCTCTCTTGCCCATTAGCTCAGTTTACAGTGCCAATCACTTTCCTGACCATGTATAGCTCACAAGAGCTCCTGAGAGCACCAGATGTGAAGAAAATTCCCTTTCCTTAAACCTTGAATGGCCATAAAAGTCAGGATATATATTTGTCATTAATCATTTAATATTGACTGGTAAGTTAGACTTACAAAACACAAAAATTAACCATACTATTCCTCAAATATGGAAGTCATTGCCTATCTAAATGAATAAACACTCTTGGATACATGAAAGTTCTTTAAAACACTTGTTGTTTCATTTGCTGAGAAATTTGGCAAAACTTGTCTCAAATTTTGTGCTAAAACAACTTCTTCCTTGACTTCAGAAACAACTGTAAAAAATAAAAACTATTAATATAATTTGAAGAGGTAATAAAGTTTTAAGTATTTCTTGCTTCCCTTTCTACTTGAAATTATTTCAAGGATAAAGTCCTATAACCAGGAAGCATAGAAGTCCCAACAGTGGAACCCAAAAGGTCCAAGAACTGCCATACAGGAAACCACCTGTGAGATTCTTTTTGAACAATGCACAAGAACACATCTCAATGTGCAAGAATGAAAAGAAAAATCTAGTGAGGATTGGTCACTTCTAATAAGCTTTGTTATACAGCAATATTTAAATAATATATCTGGACATGAAAATGAGTGTATTACAGGGACCTATTTCTGTTCAGACACCTCAAGGCTGAAAATGGCACAGGTACCTTGGGATGCCTTATTCACATTTACCCTCATAGTGTCCAAGGCCTTTTGATGTTTGATGGAATTCTGATATCAGAGTACCTGACTAATGTAGAAGCACCCCTGCTGCTTTCAGGGGTCTTCAGCTGCTGGCTACCTGCATTTTTTTGCATTCCCCTCACTCTTCAGCTGCCAACCAGCTCTCCCTGCCTACCCCTCACAGCTCTTCTTACTCAGCCATCTTCATCTTCTTGTTTGCTCAATGCTACCACAGCATCCAGTAAACAAACTGGGGTTTCTTCTTTCCCAGGTTTCTTTTCCTACAAAAGACTGCCCTTCTTAATGTCTAGCTTCATGCACAATTCAGAACATTTCTGAAAGTGAAGTCAAACTCTTTTCTCTAATAGGCAGAGCAGAGTTGGATGCTATGATTTCTGGTAGGAGTTTCTGGTTTAATTCACTGGCTTTAGATTCAGAGCAGAATTAGGCCATTTGATGCTAAATTCTCAGGATGTGTCTGAATAAAAATAGTACAAATACTGTGGCATTCAAGCTCTTCATCCATAATATATTCATCTTGAAGTGCACAGCTGCCATGCATATATTTATGTAACTGTTATCTGTAGAAATAGTTAAGTATTCAGTTCAACTCTGAAAAAAATATTTAGAAAAGTTAAGGAAGGCTAAGTGGTGAGCACAAGCAAGAGGGATAATCATTAGACATACATGTCTTCAGAAGGCAACAAATCACTAACATTTTCACCTGAATCACTGAAGATACATAACATAGCTAGAAAATGTACAGAGAGGAACAAGGACGGCCAGACATTTGGAGAAGTGAGGAATCTAAGCAGAATGCAACTTTTCAGTTAATAAGCAGACAGCTTAAGGGGGCAATGACAGGCATTCACTTTTCACAGTCAAAACACTTGAGGCAATCCATAAAATACTCAAACACAAAGCTTAAACCAAAGACAATGTAATTAATTTATAGAACCTATTTCCATAACATTTTTGAAATCAATATTGTAAACATGTTAAAAAACAAGATTGGATAAAACCATGAACAATTGAGACATCAGAAACTTTTAAATAAAGTATGACCTCCAGCCTTAGAGGACCAGACACAACAGAAGCTGGATATGGATCAGACAGGAAGGTGGCAGCATTCCCTACAAACCCCATCTCCTGTAGTTTTTCACTATCAGCTACTGAGATCTTTTGTCTCTCCCATTTTGGCAGCTGTCTTGCACTTGCCCTACATTGTTCCCAACCTTCACAAATAAAAGAGCTGCAAGTAACCTGGTCTGTGTATGCAGTAGGTGCTGAGGGCTACAGGAACATCTGTAGCCTCCCTGCTCTACCCAGCTGGTACAGCTATGCAGAACCTCCTTACACCTGCCTCTACTTTTGCCAGATTTCTGCTTCCTTCCTTTCTAAACTTAACTGTGCAAAGGCTTTGGTGCAGCAATACAAGCACAGTCATATTAATCACCAATATTTTTATTCTGTTGCATCTCTGGCAAGCTCTTGGCAGTATAGCAACAAACATCCCAGTAATAAATGAGCTTTTAACTGCACCAAGCTTTACTATTCAGCAGCTGGCTTGTGGTCTCTGATCAAAACTTAATGTATATGACCCCTGCATAGGCAGCACACCAAATAGCAATAACAGCAACAGCACTAATAAAAATGTAACACATTGCTCTGACCTCAAGTTAAGAACATAGGTCAACTATCTTCCTAACTATACCAAAATCTATTACTTCAGGGGCTCTTTTCCTAAACTACACTAACACACTACTGAATTGCAGCGACTTAGGTAAGTAGGAGCACAATGCCCATTAAGCCTCCATAAACAATTAACTTTTGCAGCTAAGCTTCACAACAAAACAACCTGTCTGCTGCCGTGGGATGTTGTTTCATTCGTGTAGGTCATTGGTAAGGTAATAGACAGTTTTACCCAGCAACAACAGAAAAGTAGCAAAATACCAGCACAGCACACCCTTTGATAAGCTTAATAAAAATACAGATCAAGTTTATAACAGAAAAAAATTGAAAAAAACCCCACAATTCCCTCACTTAATTGTATTTCAAATGTTTGCAAAGTATACAGAATTTTACTGCTAAAGATACCCCAACAAAACATACATTCAATGTAAAAAAATGCCTTAAACTTACCTCTTAGTTTACACTGATTTAATATATTTTTTCTTCTACTTTTCAACTTTCCTTGCATCTTGGGAATATAGTGGTTTTCTCCACCCGTTTCCTTCCTCTCACCTCCTCCCCCTCCAATCTGGCCTCCTTTCCTTCCTTGGAGGTTTTTAAGCTTTAATTTGAGAGTGTAAAGCTGAAAAATATTTGATACAATTTTTTTTTTTAATTAGAGAATTGAGCTCCTCACCATGGTTGAAGCATTTCTGGGAACAGCACCAAAAAGCTGGAAGCTACTGCACTGAGTAGCCACAGCTTATCTCTTAAAATCATCACTCATTTATTTTTCCCAGACAACTAATGTTTCAGCATTTTACTTACAGACATGACTGCAGTTTAGGAAACTAGAAATGAGTCCGAGTCTCTTTGTTCAATTTTGGAACATGAAAACTAGATTCCCAAATTCCAGCGTGGGCCCATCTCCAGCTGGAACAGGAACAAGACTCACCAAGTGGGATTTGACAATGTATGAGCTGAGGCTTAAGTTAGTCACATTTTAAATGAGCTCAGAAGGGTATTGATGATTATATGTTCCAACTGGAGGAGGTAGTTGTCAGTCTGCCTGCAGTGTGCATGTCACCACACTGGGGAAGGGGAAATATTTTAGAGCTTGTGTGGGATTGGGCTTGCTGAATGGAGCACTTGGGAAGTCTCCTCTCCTATAATTTGGATATTGTTGGGGAAGGGGGGAAAAAGTATAGGTTAGATATAATCTCCAGGAACTCTGTAACATGCATTCACAGCGAGAGGTGTTGGAGAGACTTGGCATTTCTGTATGCAAGTGAGTGGAAGCCTACAGCCTGCTTTAGGTTTCCATTAATTGGCTTTACAGCCTGTACATATATTTTTTTTTAATCTTCATTTGGTATGGCTAGAGATTGCTTTCATCTAATAAAGAATATTTTCCTGATAAGATAGCAATCTGTGGTAATGCTAAATAAGTCATATCTTTTGTAAATGCTTACACATTTCAGGTATGTGTATAACAGTAGTCTTGCTCTCCATTCCTTTTTTTGTTCATTCATTACATTTGTCTTTCCTCTTACATTACCCCTGCTTGAACAACAGCAAATTGCTCCTACAACCCACTTATTCGTGTGAAACTCAGCAATTACATGTCTAGTATTTTACACAATCTATCTGCACATTCTTTCAAAGACAGTATTTCCCTTTTAGACAGTATACTGACTACAAACTGGACCTTTCATAACCAGAAAAGGTTTTAGTGTAATTGAATGTGTATATTTTTGTCTATTTAGTTAGTATGTTTAGGAATATAAAATCAGTTATGAACTAGTTTACCACAGATGCATTAGCTTCTCATTTCTCTCAATCAGAATATGATACATTCATAACTCTTGCTCATGTTTCTAACCTCTAAGTATCATTTATTTTCTGTTTCCCGCTGTTTACATCATCTGCTGACTTCATTAACATGCTGTTCACTTGCTTTCTTTAATACTATTAATGAAACTGTTAAAAAAGGCTGAAACAGAGACTAATCATTATAGCAGCACATGGGACAACTGGAATGTGTCATCAGCCAAGGTTTCTGCAGCAAGGTCTAAAAGTCCATTTGTCAAAATCATTCCTTTTAATTGGTTTCATTAAGTTACTTTTTCAATTGACCGATGTTTAATTGTGGCATTACCAGAAAACCATTTGTGAAACTTTGGCATAAAAAAGGCTGACTGCTTATGTGCTTTTGTCTAAACCAAACATACTGGAAAGTTTGAATTTGCTTCAGAATGGGTTTTAAACTACTTACTACAGTTCTCCTTTCTATTTACCTCTTCATACTCACTATTTCATACCATAGTTTATCCTTACAGATTTGAGATCCTTGAATTAACTGCATGCAATTGACAAAACAATTAGGTTGTTTTAAGGCTGTGCAGAAGGATATGTGATAACAAACAAATAATATTAAATAGAAGATAATATTATTTACATAAATTGACACACATAGTGAGAATATATATGAATTCAACACAGACAAAAACAATTCCAAATATATTTCCAGCATAACAGAGGGAAGAATGAGAGGTGTCTGTTAAACACCAAAAAAACATAAACAGAGAAGGAAAAAAACCTATTTTACCTGCATAGTTATTGGTGACCTGCAAACACTAACTGAGCACAAATTAGACTAGAAATGAGAAAGTAAGTAACAACCATGAGGAATGTGAGCCTTCAGATAAGTCTTCCAGTACACGTAGCCAAGGCAATGAACATAATGCCTTTAATACAAAGCTGGCTTTGCTCACAGTAGGAGTTGTTAAGTGGTTGCTTGAAAAGGCAGCCAGCCCTGATCTCAGACATGGTGGCCCTATCTGCCTTCCAGCTCTGTGAGCACACCAACAATTCTTAACCCCTAACTTTGTCTTTGAAATTACTGATTCACATTTTCTTTGTACTGAAAGTCTGGAATAAATACTGCTCAGTTTTGATGGACTTCAATTGCCTCATGAAATCTGAAATAAGAAAATGCAATTATTAATCTTCATTACTTATAAGACATGAGCGGCTGAATTTTTAAGTGTCAAACTTTTGGCCTCTAAAAAATTAGTTTTCAGTAAGTACACATGGGGGAAAGCTTCACAAGCAAGAGCACTCTTGAAGACAGTGGATTCTGGCACTGACCGGGGTCTTTGTTGAAAAAGCTCAAGTTCACTACTCCTGACATGCAGCAACTACATCAGGGTCTGCTGCCTCCCCAGTAGTATCAACACAGACCCAGGAAAAATGGCTATAATCTAGACCAAAAGAATACACCCTGGACATTTTTTTCTTCTTTTGGGGACAAAAACCACAGAAAACTCTCATGGTTTAGAAAAGATGAAAATATTTTAATCCAGAACTATTTTGAATCTGAGAAGTGACAAAACTGATAGAAAAGGACAATCAGGCATTTTTGTAATCATAGTATTTTGAGTATATGGGTCATTTCATTTTGAGGTTTTCAGAAAAGACTTGAGGACATTCAAAAATTTCAGCATATCTTTTTATACAAAAAACCCAGTCTCAATTAAAAAGACTATCAAAAGATTTGCTCATGGATATGTATTTGATTTCATGGAATGAAGCATTCTTGATCCTCCTAGGAGCATTCTCCTCTAAGTTTTTAACTCTTATCAGTGGCAGAAGGAGCTTTGGTGAAAGTTATTTAACCTTTATAGTGCATTGTTTACATAGACTACTCCAAGAAAACTAACAGGGCTGTTACTCTAGGTACAATCTTTTTTGTTTGGCTGAATAGTTCTTGGCCTTTTCAAAGCACATGACTCATTGTTTTCATCAGCCTATGATCATAATGATACAAAGAAAAGTCACAGTAATTATAGAGCAGTCTTCATAAGAGCTATATTTAATAAGCTATGTTCATCCCTGTTCCAACTCCACCAGCTTCTGTCAAAAGCAAGGATATATTTAACCGTTATGTGCTAGCTGGCATAGCTACAATTATTATCCTTGAGAAAGCAGCAATGCTTTGGCCCTTTTAGAGGTTAAACCTTATTTTCTGTCTGCTAACAAAAATACTGAATAGTTGAAATAAATTTAGAGTGCAATAAATGTTCATAGACTTCAAACAAAGCATTCTTTCTGATATCATGTCTATAAAAGGCTTAATTGTGTTTTTACCTTTTCAGTTTGACAACAAAAGCAGTGATGAAAGGCGAACATACATATATCTGTATGTATGCATGTATCACCATAAATACAAGCATATTGGCAAGAAATATTAGAAGTGTATCATCAAAACCCTTTCTTTTTCATTGGATTATTAGTTGTTTAAGTACAACTATTAACTTCAGAAGTCTTTAAAAAATGGAAAAAAAATTCCAACTCTTTATCTAGAGGAGATCACAATGAACAGATGAGACAGCAGGAGGATACAGTCTGATGAGTAGCACAAAGAAAAAATGAGAAAAAAGTTGCTCAGGATACATCTTAGCACACAAACTGAGCATCAGATGTAATCTGTTGCCATCACCAGGTGGTTTACATATTTATCTATTATGAGTCCTCTGCAAATGCTATTTTGAATTATTACTGGAAATTTATTTCAGCATAATATGAGATAATAATAATAATATTAATAACAAAATAAACTCAGGGCACCAGCACCAGCCTGGTTCTATTTTATCATTCAATTCAACCACGGAAAAATAATTCAGACTACCTTGAAGGAAGAATAGGCATATTATTGACTTCAAAGGGCTCACTAACAGTAACATACAACTTCTGGCATCATTTCAGTTTCACTGGTTCTTGATAATACTGTTTACTTCACAATACATTTTTAATTAATAAACAAAATAATTTACATAGCTTCTTTCTTTGTCTGTTTGCTAGCATGTGTTCTGCCACACAAATGTTTACTTCCTGCTGCCCTGAAGAGGAATCCTTGTGCTCACAGTGGAGGAAAAATATGGCTCAGAGAATCAGATCTACAGAACCATCCTGCAATAACTGGTCATTCAGGATGGGAGGAATGAAAAATAAAAATTTAAAATTATGGGGGGGGGGGGGGGGGGCGGGGAAAAAAAAAAAAAAAAAAAAATAAAAAATGGGGGGGGGGGGGGGGGAGGGCAGGGCAAAAATATAAGATTATAATAACAGAATTCATTAATATCACATAATATTAATAGAATTCAAAGAACCAAACACATTTTATGTTCATTCCAGAACTCCACACATTCTTCCTATTCTTAAAAAGCATGAGGTATAAAATCCTTCCATCTCATCTACTGCATACAAGATATCTATCTTCCCACACTGCCATCCAATACAGCTCAGAATTCTGGTCTTATAAGCCTCAACATAAAATGTGCTGTTCTCTCTTCAAAAGCATATGTTGTGTTTATAGGCTGGCTCACAGTCACAGGGATCATATGTGCCTGTGAATGTATATGAGAGTGCATGAGACAAGACTACTGAACCTATTGGTTAATTTCTAATTAAAAGAGAAGACAGTGAAACACTGGGAAAATTCTGAAGCAACCTTGTATTGTGATATGCAGAAGAATGCAAGCT